GGTTGTGGGCACATCCACAGTATGGGGTGTGCAAGAGGCAGGTGATGGATGATTCTCTCTCATCAATGTTTCTAACTATCCCTTTCTCTTCCTCTCTGAAAAAAAATCAATAAAATATACTTTAAAAAAGAAAGAAATTAAGCACTCATTTTAACCCAAATGTAAGTTTGTGTCTCACGGAAAACTCACAGAATGGGATTCTAATCCAGTCATTACCTGGGTAGCCCACTTGTTTTCTTAGCATCACACCAAGACTATCACACTGGCATCTCTAACTCAGCACGTCCAAAATGAATTCACAATCTTCCCACCAACCTTTTCAGTACAACCATCTCCCTAGTTACTTAAGTCAAAACCCTAGTATCACCCTTGAAAGCTCTCACTTTTTCACCCTCCCTCCTATGCAGTCAGTTATGTATCTACCTCTCTCTGTTTCTACACACCCACCATGTCCGAGTCGCCAAGCTCTCTCACCTGGACTCAGCAGTAATGTCAGCTGGCCTCCTGTTCCTGTCCTTTCTTGCACTGTAGCTCTGCCTAAGCTGTTGGTTCTCTCGAAGGCTCTTCTTCACATAGTAAATTCTTACTGACCCCTCAGATTTCACTTTAAAGGTAATTTCCTCGAAAAAGCTATTTTTGATCACCTTCCACCACCTTCCCAGCATTCAGTCGGTTCCTTAGGTTCTCTTAGCACCTTGTACCATTTGTAGCACTTCTCCCAATTGCAGTTAATTATTATGTAGTTATTGTGTCTCCTGCTATAACTCTGCATCTCACCATTAGGCCAGGAACACTTTCACTTGTTGCTATGTCCCTCGCTTTGCACATAGAAGGATTCACATCATTGAGTAAGTGGAGGAAAGTTTACTTGCTTACAAAACTTCCCTTCCCCATCCTTGTCTATTCAGATGTCATCTCTACTGCAAAACCATCCCTTAAACAGTAGTTAGGTGCTCTCTCTTCTCTATTTCTATAAATCTTGAACATAGTCTGTAGCAGCATTGATCATATCATTTTGTAACTATTGGTTTACAATATGTCTGTTTCTCCTGTTAGATTGTGAGCTCCCTGAAGTAGGGATTATTTTCATAGTTGTCTTTAAGTTATCAAGGTCTAATGCAATACATGTTATAAAATAATATTAAAGGAAGAAAGGAAGGAAAGGGGGAAAGTAGGAAGGAAAGCAAACTGACTATTTCAGAGTTTTCTGAGTAATTTCTCTTTTATTTGGGTAATAAGAGAGAGGGGGCATAGGGATCATAGAATGACAGAAAAGAGAAAAAGGATGACTAAAATTGTAGCCAAACTTCCTAACTAAAGGGTCCAGAGGGACAATAAGGACGTTTGCTCAATCAAACCAAGAGATGTACACAGTATTGTGAGCCCATTTTTGCTAAATTAATTTTGATTTCCAGTGGCAATCTGGGCAACAGTGACAACTCTGAATTTTTAGTTGTTTTATTGTGAGACAGTGGTATGGGGCAGTGAGCATTATTAGTAAATAGCAATATTAGGGAGTAACAAGAGATTGTTGAATGCCATAATGAGTATCTTGATTTCTATCTCAGATTTTCTGAAACATAAACCTGATGTCCTGGCTGGGAAGTTCAGTTGATTGGAGCATCCTTCCAATGCATTAAGGTTGTAGGTTTTATCCCCGGTCGGGGCACATACAGGAATCAGCCAATGAATATATAAATAAGTGTAATAATAAATCATTGACTCTCTCTCTCTCATATCATTAAATAAGTTAAAATTTCAATAAAGAAACATGACAATTCACATAATTCTTTAAAAAATATTTTGTTTATTGATTTCAAAGAAAAGGGGAGAGTGAAAGAGAGATAGAAACATCAATGGTAAGAGAGAGAGAATCATTTATCGGCTACCTCCTACACCCCCCATTGGGGATTGAGCCCACAACCCAGGCATGTGCCCTGACTGGGAATGGAACCATGACCTCCTAGTTCATAAGTCGACACTCAACTACTGAGCCACGCCAGCCAGGCAGCAATTCTTACTTTTACAAATGAAAAAGCAATGGCATTTTCCAGTTCATGGTTCTCAGATTAGAAATACAATTCTTACTTTTTTTTTAATTTGTAGGAAGAAAACTTAAGAATTCTTAACATGTTATATGTAGCGTAGAAAGTCATTCTTTACTTTGAGCACAACTTCTGGCAAGCTTTCTCTATAAATGTTTGACTGTGTGCTCAAAAAAACTACAAACCCTTCAGGGAATATTTGGCCGCTGTTCAAGAATAGTTCAAACTGTAATTTTTGCGGTTTATGGTGTCAGGAAAGCCTATCAATTAAATTAAATCTTTATGTTGACTTCAGAGGTCACCATGTTTCTTTGTGGCCTACTTGAGGTGATAAAAGAACTACAGACTGAATCAAGAGATGAAGTCTGATGAGTCTGATCCTGTACTCCCCAGCTATCGTTTTTTTTGTTTTCTTGTTCATTCATTAATGTATTCATTCAACAAATGTGCCGTGCTTTCTGCTAAACAAGTTTGAGTTTAGCCTGGAGCAAGAGTGTTTCAAATCATTCATCCTACAATCTTCTTCTTTTTTTTTTTTTTAATATATTTTTTAATTGCTTTGAGAGAGAGAGAGGGGGCAGAGGGGGGGGGGGTGGTGGAGATCATCCTACAGAAGCAGCAGTAGAGAGTGCTGGGCTGGATGAGTGTGTTGGTGTTCCAGTAACATTTTGCTTTCAGGCCAAAAGGCTGTAATTTGTTGGTTTAAAACAGGATTATCATTTTGCTTATAAATCAACAATTTGGATAGGGTTTGGCAGGGTTGCCCTTCTCAAAGTCTTACCCATTCCTTTACCTTGTCAACAGCTGCTTTCACACTACAGTGGTAGAGTCGTTGTAACAAAGTCTGTGTGGCCTGAAGACCCTAAAATATTCATCTAGATCTTTACAAAAAAAACGTTGGTGGGTCCTTGGTGTCGGCACTCTCGGCAGCCCACCAGACTTGCTGGGAGGGTGTTAAGGTTCTGGAAGAGCATGTGGAACTAGAAAAAAATTGGGAGCCATTTTTAGAAATACAATCTGCTACAGGGACAAACCACGTGGATACCTAGGGGGGAAGATCATTGCAGCCAGAGGGAATAGCAAAATTTTGGCAAAAGCTGGCTGGGTGTGCCACAGAACACTAGCAATCTGGCTAGTGTTGCTGGAACAGAGTAGGTGAGCTACAGAGCAGTGGGAGGTGAAGGCAGAGAAGTGGCTGGGGCCAAGTCATGTGGGGCAGGATTTCAGCTTTTAGGGAAGGAGAGGCCATTGGAGGGTTTCCAGAAGAGTGACAAAATGTAACATTTTTTAAGGATAACTTGAGCTACATGTGGGGACTAGATTTTGGAGGACAAAAGCAAAAGCGGGAGACTGGTTAGCAGAACGTTAAGTAGTCATCAGGCAAGAGGAGATGTGACTTATAGTAGTGAGAGCGAAGATAGAACGAGCTAGTTCGTTTCTGAATACAGTTTTGAAGGTAGAATTAGTGGTCTTTGTTGATGGGTTGGATAATGGTATGAGAGAGAATGAGAAAAGTCAAAGATGACCCCAAGGTTCTGAGGCATTCTTGCCGCCTCCGTGGGACCCCTTTGAAAACCATTGTCTTTCCGTGCGGGGAGGTTGATGAGCCAAGAGGCACATCTAATTCTGTCCCACTCCTACTGCTGAAAACCCCTCAGAGGCTTCCGTTGCCCTCCCCAGATGTCTAAGGTCACTCACCAAAGCCCTTGATGACCCACCCCTAATTCTCTTGTGTTCTCTCTCCCCTCCCCTCACCCTGCATCCTGTTCCCCGCCCACAATGACTTTCAGTTACTCAGACCCTTGTATTCTGTCACCTATTGTCCTCTCTGCCTCCTCATCTCACGCTTAGGTTTCCACCTGGATTTTCTTTTTTTTTCTATTTTTTTCCAGGAGCTCCCCCTTTTCTCATTTATGTCCTTCTGCTATGTTTACCCTGTGACAGTACTTCCCATACTTCATCGCTTACGGTTTTTTTAATCATATGTCATTCTTATTGGACTAGAAGCTCCAAAGGAGCAGGGACCAACTTGTATCTGTCTCTCCCCCATCTGTCACCATGGAGGGCCTCGCTCATCAAGGCAGTTAGCAGTTTGTTGACACTTTGACCAAAGTACGGGTAACTTTTCAGGCAAATTGTGTTTTCTTGCTAATGTATGGATGGATTTGGGAAAACGTCTCACTTTTACATCAGATCAATGACCAAGTCTGAAAAAAGGAAAAGAAAAATATAATGTAATAATGTATGATAAAGTTATTTCAATTCAGAAGGCGTATTGAAGTATAAAAGTAAAAAGGGAATATATAAAACCTAATGATTCTATTTGGTTAGTTGAATTATAAGTTCTGTTTTTCTTAGTGTATTTCATATTTTCTTTAATTTCATTTCTTTTATTTAAAATACTTTTAGAAGAATTTTAAAGGCTCAATTCTATTTTTTTTATCTTTTTAAGTATCTTAAATATAACATTTTTAGCTCCTTAGGCCATTTATTCCCAAATTTGACTGAATCCTGGGTAGTTCCCAAGCACAGTCTCTGCTGGAAATAATCTGGAATATCTGGTTTCCACCCTTCTGCTTCAGTAAATCAAAAATCATTCCACTTTCAACGCTTATTTTTCAAGGATGAAATATTATATTGTTCAAAAGAGATAAAATAACTTATTATTCTGTGTTTATCAAGTGAGCCTTCATCTGTTCCCTTATTTCTTTGAAACATTATCATCACTATTCTAAAAATAGTACTTAAATGTTAAATATCTGTAAAGTGCCCTTGAATATTTTGTCTTCAAGTCACTGATGTAGCAAATGTTCTAGATAAAGAAACTGGCTCAGAGTAGTTATATGATTTGCTGAAGGTCACAAGCTGGGATAGAGGTTTTCAAACTTTTTTTTTTTTCTGGTTCGAAGTTATTCGCGTGCTGCATTCTGATGTTTCCCCCCCTTTCCTCCACAGCTGTGCATGCCGAAAGGGCTGTCTTTCAGAACACAGGCTGACAACAGAGACCCTCAGTTCCACTCATTTATAATCACCCGAGAAGATGGTTCTCGCACCTACGGTTTTGTTCTCACTTTTTATGAAGAAGTTACAAGCAAGCAAATCTGCACAGCCATGCAGACACTCTACCAGATGCACAACGCTGAGCATTATGCTTCCTCCTCCTGCAGCATGGACTCGCTGGCCAGCAGCATCGACGAGGGAGATACGACTTCCCTTTCGAAACTCCAGCGATACAACTCCTACGACATCAGCAGAGACACCCTGTACGTTTCCAAAAGCATATGTTTGATCACGCCCCTGCCTTTCATGCAGGCCTGCAAGAAATTCCTCGTCCAGCTCTACCGAGCCGTTACCTCGCAGCAGCCACCCCCCTTGCCGCTGGAGAGCTACATCCATAACATTCTCTACGAGGTACCGCTCCCACCGCCAGGGAGGTCGCTGAAGTTCTATGGCGTTTATGAACCCGTCATATGCCAGAGGCCCGGGCCCAACGAGCTCCCCCTCTCCGACTACCCTCTGCGGGAGGCCTTCGAGCTCCTGGGGCTGGAGAACCTGGTGCAGCTGTTCACCTGCGTCCTCCTAGAGATGCAGATCCTCCTCTACTCACAAGGTAGGTCTGGCCTGGACTCTGAGTCTCTCGGAACAACCAGCACCTGTGCTCCCAGCTGCTGTGTCTCCATGGGGGGAAATTGTTAGAACCGAATAATGCACGGTCGGAAGTCTTTTCTGTTTTGTGTAAAAGGAGCAGGTGTCGGGTGGGACCAGCGGCTGAGACATTACATCTCTCTAGGGTGGCAGTGGCTGTAGAGAAAAGCAGGAAAGAATTACAAAAGCGGTAACTTGGCCGACTTGAGTCTTATTTTTTCATGGAAAGTCCCCTCCACCCCCACTTCCTGATAATACATAGTTATCCTGAAAGAAACAGTTCTTTTCATAATGGAAGTCAGAGAGTCCGGTTATTACCAGGAACATGTAGACGTGTCATGTTCTACAGATTAGTAAAGGGTTCACATCACAACACAGCTGACATTAGAAAGGGAGAAACGAAATTGTTCAGGCTCTACAGCTTCCTAAGGCAGCAGTTTCCAGCCTTTTCATCTTGTGGCACATATAAAATATTTAAATTGTGTGGCACAACAAAAACTTTTTTTGGGGGCCAATGTGACCAATCAAAATAGATATAATTTTGATTCATTCACATGGGACAGCTATTGTTGCATTGGCTGTTGTTACTTTTTATTTGACAGTCTAAGGGAAAAGAGGTCATTACTCCTGACCAAACAGTCAGGTATTGCGTATGTTAAATACACTCCCGGCACACGGGTTGATTGAAGAATGGCAGTCCTAAGGCAGTCGGCGTTGGGTCTTTGCCTGTGGGTGATTCCACGTGGTGAGAGAAAGGGAACAGCTGTGAAACTCTGTACTCTCCTGGGCCTAACAGTTCCACCAGACTTACGTGGGGGCTTTTTGTTTTGTTCTTAATTCCAGAAGGAAGTTACCTTGGTGATACTTTTCATTCAAAGTTCTCCCAACACATACCTAAGAAACTAGCATAATGTGGGTTTTATTTTCTTTCACCAGTATGAATGTGAATTTGCAGAGGAAATAGAGATGCTGTGTCTTAATGGATAATGAATTGAAGGAGAGCCTAAAATGGTACCTGTGCACTGATGAGCCCTCTGAGGAAAGTGGCCCAGATATCTGGGTTTGCATTTTGCTAACTTGTGTTCAGGCGGAATCGAAGTTCCCCCTCCTGGCTGCCGCTGTCAGGAGTGTTTTACCCCGTTCGGGCTTTTCTCTTCGGTTTCAGATGACAAGTGAGGCTGAGCCAAGTAGGCTATATTTGTCCTTCCCTGTCTTGTGTGTGTGTTCACACTATTTATGTGTTGACAGCCTTCCACGGGGTTGTATTTTCTTCAGTTTATCCTACGTAATGCTCTTTGGTAATGAGTTCCGGTGTCTCCATGCTTGTTGTCAGGAAGCTCTTCTCTCACGGCCAGTCTGCGTACTTTCCTTTCCTCGCGCCTCCGCTTTCTTAGTGCTCGCCATCACCTATAGATCACCCTTTGTATCTGAAAAGTTAACCTGAAGTAATTCTCCCTCCCTTTTTGTTTCTTCCTTTCTTGTGTAAACAATGTATGATAATAACTTTATCATACATTATTTATTCCCTGAAGGGAGTAAGGATTAGAGAGTTGCTGAAGGGGCAGGGGCTTGAACCTTTAAAATGCTCAAGTGTAGGAACTCATTAGAAAAGAGAATTTTAGGTCCTAGATATACAGGTCATTTTCAGGGTCATATAGTTGAGTGACCTCATGTTCTGGTTAGAAAGAATATTGGTTTTTGAAGTCATAACAACCCTGGGTTCAAATCTCTGCTCTGTCACTTACTGACTGTAACCATGGACAAGTTACATAATCTTCATGAATGTTAAGTTCATGTTTATGGGGATGACTGTTTTTTTCTTCTCCTCACACAATTTACTGTGAAGACTAAATAAGAAAACCTATACAAAATACTTTGAGCATAATTGGCTCACTCTATGTTAGCCAATGTTGTTGTAATGATTAGTCTTATTAGTCCAACATAATCCTTTCTGAATTATGCATATCTTAAATTGTGAGGGACTAATATATTACTGCATTTAAAGTATAACTTTGTTAAATAGTTAAGGCCTTTATTTCAGGGTTGAGAACCTAATAAATGTTCTCTTATACTGAATGTCATGCTTTTTTCTTTAAAATATATTTTTGTTGATTTCAGAGAGTAAGGAAGAGGGAGAGAGAGCTATAGAAACATCAATGATGAGAATCATTAATTGGCTGTCTCTTGCATGCCCCCCACTGGGGATTGGGCCCGGAACCCAGGCATATACCCTAACTGGGAGTCGAATGCCATGACCTCCTGATTCATAGGTCAATTCTCAATCACTGAGCCATACCAGCTGGGCTGTAATGTTTTTTGTTTTGTTTTTTTAAAGAAAAACACCTTCTGTTATCTCACTTCCTGTTTTAAGTAGCACTATATCTTTCATTGCTTGTGGTCCTAAGTACTCATCTTTCTGCTCTGATTTAAAAAAAATATATATTTTATTGGTTTTTCACAGAGAGGAAGGGAGAGAGATAGAGAGTTAGAAATATCGATGAGAGAGAAACATCGATCGGCTGCATCCTGCACACCCTCCACTGGGGATGTGCCCGCAACCAAGGCACATGCCCTGGACCAGAATCGATCCTGGGACCCTTGAGTCTGCAGGCTGACGCTCTATCCACTGAGCCAAACCAGTCAGGCATCTTTCTGCTCTGATTACCTTATCAGCTCTGATTTATAGAGTCTGTTGAAAAGTTAAGTTGATTAATGTCTACCTATTTATTTCAGTTTCAAATGAAGAATGATTACTTATGAGCATGTTTTTGTACTCAAATGAATATTTTTTGTTGACTTGATCTTATGTTTAGAACAAAAGTGACTCTTGAGATTATAGAAGTGTACACACACATATGTCTTTTAAGAGTGTCATACAAAAAAGTCTTATACAATAATTTTATAGTTAGTTGCTGCAATCACTATGTTAGGAATTGTACTATAAAGATGCCTTATTGGTTTTGATTTTATTCTCTATCTTTAATGCTCTCAGCAATGAGTTAGTACTATTATCTGTCTTTTACCAAGGAGGAGGCTCAGGGATCCAAGGTCACACAGCTATTACATAATGTGGTGCAGCGAGAAATGGGACTCACACCCATCTTTCTGCAGGGCACTTAACCGCCATGTTCAGTGTGTTGGGCACTGCACTTAACCTTTCCTTCTCTGTCTCAATAAATTATTTTTAAGTTATAAACACATTCTGCAGGTCTATTGTGTAGATAACATGCTAACTAATTACAGAGTATTACGGAGTAGTGCATGCACATTTTAATATTGACAATGTCTCTCCCATTAGAGAAAGACAATTCATTTAAATGAATGAAATAAGAGTCATTATGTTGATTTGTGCTCTGGTGCCCTCCTTCATTCTTCCTGGCTGTGTTAAGGGGGTTTTAATAGCATCTGATACTTCATTTCTTCTTCACTGATAAAGCTGTGCCATAAAATTTTAAAACATTGCAGGTGCTGGAAGATTACCATGAAACTGCAAAGTGAATCAAAGAAGATGTATGTCAGTGATGAAATTGTCTTTCTAGACTGATTTGAAATTCTGGTCACAGCCCATTCACACGATTCAAACTGTTATTTAGAGAGTGTGTACGTCACCGTCACTTGGCTATGGAAACTATTATAGCTAGACATTTTAGGTAGAGAATGCACGCACCCAGGAGGTTAAAGCTCTTTTCTTGGGACCCCAAATTAGAAAAGAGCACATTCTTCTGCAGCCGGGAAATACCTGGAGCGAAGACAGGGAAGATTGGAGTGTGGTTCTCTTTTCAAAAAAACGGGAGGAATAAAAGATAGGGGAATTTAAACACCAGGGTCTAACTTTTGATACCAATAATTAAAGTCTCAGGAACATCTTTGGGCCTTGCTTACCTCCTTTGACTCTTCACAATGGAAATAAGCGGTTACCACAGCCCATACTGTACTGGCTGCCTGTGTGCCCACACTGCCTTCTCTGCTCCCCTCCCTCCTGTAAGTTGGGCATGAATTTAACCTTGTTAGAAATAGAGCTGCTTGAGGTTTTCTAGAAAAGGGGGGAGTTTTCTAATCACAAGTTGCTGACCATACTGAACTGAACATCATAGCTTATTGGTTATGGAGTTTATAAATCATAAAAGCACAATTGATACTTTTTTTAAAATAGGATTTTTTTGTTTTTTAATATTAATATATATTTTTATTGATTTCAGAGAGGAAGGGAAAGGGAGAAAGAGATAGAAACATCAGTGATGAGAGAGAATCATTGATTGGCTGCCTTCTGCACACCCCCTTCTGGGGACTGAGCCCGCAACCTGGATGTGTGCCCTTGACCAGAATTGAACCCAGGATCCTTCAGTCCGCAGGTTGACACTCTATCCACTGAGCTAAACTAGCTAGTGCAAAAATATGTTTTTATTGATTTTAGAGAAGAAGGGAGAGGGAGAGAGAAACATCGATGTGAAAGAGAAACATTGACCAGTTGCCTTCTGTATGCACCTGAACTGGTTTTTGAACCCATAGTCTGGATAGGTGCCCTGACCAGGAATTGAACTGGTGACCTTCTAGTGCATAAGATGTTGTTCAACCAACCAAGCCACATTGGCCAGGGCACAACTGATATTTTGATGGTAGAAAGTTGGTTCCTATGAACTGTATCTTAAAAGCAGCAGAGTATGATCAGCTTTGGCCAATATCTTTATACTATTAGCTTTATTTTGTGACGATAAAGGGATCTTAATATTAAGACACTTAAAAAATATATATTCTTTTTTTTTCTTTTTTCTTTTTACAGAGAGGAAGGGAGAGGGATAGAGAGGGATAGTGAATTACATTTCTTCAGAGCAAGAGACAGGCTTCGCACTTCACAGCACATAGCATTCAATAGTAGGCAAAGAGAAATGTAACTCACCAACCTAAATTGGTAGAGAATCTTCTGTTTCAAATCTCTCATAGTATTTTGAGCATTTGCATCCACCA